TATTACATTAACTAATTATAAATTATATGACTAATTCAAACTCACAAGAACAAACAAACAAGTTCTATTTCCAAGAGCTTACTCTAATGGATTCAAAAACAAGAACATGTAAACATTTTTAATTTAATTTTTTTACTTACGAGACCTTCCCCAGTATGACTAATTTGAAGAGAAAGCTGTGGTAGAAAAGTGTACAGTATTTATACAGAAAATGAGAATTTATTATCTAACGTATTCAAGCACAAGCACAAAAAGTATTTTTAATTTTTTTGTTAATTGTGGTTAATTTTACAAAATTATTTCAACTGTGGTTAAATTAAGTTTTGGATCTAAATTGTAATAAAAGATAGAATTACGACATTTATGGTATTAATTTCCATTAACCTTAATTAATTTAGTGAATTATGGCTAATTTTACAAAATTATTTCAACTGTGGTTAAATTAAGTTTTGGATCTAAACTGTAATAAGAGATAGAATTACGACATTTATGGTATTAATTTCCTATGACCTTAATTAATTTCATAATTAAAAACAATTAACTGGGATAATTAATAGAATTAAAAAAAAACCTAATTGTACTGTAAAAGTAAAATTGCTTTTGAAACAATAATTATTGTGTGGATAAATTAATTATGATTAATTTTACTTAGACGTTTGTGTGGTTAAAAAAGTATTTAATTATGATATTAATTTCTAGTACGTAATTAGAATGTTTTCAATTATCGCTAACTTAATTACTCGCGATTTGAATGAATTTAAATTATACAAATTTTTACTGTACAAGCTAAATGGCTTTTGATACAGTAATTAATGTTTCGATGAAATAATTATGATTAATTTTACCCACATGTTTGTAATTTTTTTATTAATTATGACTAATTTTACGTAATTATTCCACCTATACTTAAATTAAGTTTCGAATCTATAGTAAAACTGGAAATAGGATTACATCGTTTACGGTATTAATTTCCTTGATTAGTAATTACTTACAATTATGTCTACTAATTGGTATTTATTATCTGGGATAATTAATACAACTTATATAATTAAATGCAATAACTGACTATTCATTACTAAAATTTTAAACTTTACCAAGCTGAGTTTATATTGCTATATTTCTTTAATGTAATACATATTATCTTGACTAATTATAATAATTAGGACTAATTCAAAATGGATGAAAATAAAAACAAAAGTAACTCACTACTACTAATTCAGGTAAAAATTTGTATTTATACTAGCAAGTAAATATTGATATTTTTCATTAATCGTAATTTAATTAGTGGCGATTAGAATGAAATTAAGTTATAATGTTACATTTTTAATGTAGAAATACTTAAAATAGCTCTTGACACAGTAATATTTGTTTGGATGACATAATTACGATTAATTTTACTTATATCTTTGGGATTTTTTGTTAATTGTGACTAATTTTACTTAATTATTTCAGCTATCGTTAAATTATGTTTTGAATCTAAATTCTAATTGAAGATAGGATTACATCGTTTATGCTATTAAGTGCCATTATCCTTAATTACTTCTAATTGATGTCTCTTAATTGGAATTACAAATCTGGGATAATTAATTAAAATTATGTAACAGAATTTGATAACTGACTGTTATTTACTAAAACTTGAACATTATCTAGTCAGGATACACCTAATTATGACCCTGAGTTACATTTATATTACTAATTTTTTTTAAGTACTAATTATTACCTTGATTAATTATAACAATTAGGAGTAATTCAAAATTACTGAAAAATAGAAACAAAAGTCAAGCTTCAAAGTTTTTAGTGCTTAAATGTTTAAATAGTGCGATTAATTGTAACTCACTACTACTAATTTACAAATTAATATTTATACTAGCAATTTTATATTTAGTAAATCTTGATACTTTTCATTTATTTATTTATTAAGATATTCAACTACAAGCACATAAAAGGTCATTTAATTATGATAGTAATTTACACTGAGTACTTAGGACATTTTTAATTATCACTCATTTAATTACTGCCCATTTGGCATAAATTTAAGTTATATACTTAAATTTTTACTGCAAAAAAATGGGTCTTGATACAGTAAAAATATTCTCGATGCCATAATTACGATTAATTTTACTTATATGTTTGTTAATTGTGACTAATTTTAGGTAATTATTTCAGTTGTGGTTAAATACTGTTTTGAACTCAAATTCTAATTGAAGATAGGATTACATCATTTACGGTATTAAGTCCCTTTATCTTTAATTACTTCTAAATGATGTCTTCTAAATGGAATTACAAATTTGGGATAATTAATTAAACTTGCATAACAAAATTCAATAACTGACTGACAATTTACTCAAACTTTATTATTATCATTCAGGTCAGGATACAGTTGATTATGAGCCTAAGTTAATTTATATTACTAATTTTTTTAACGTAGTTTAATTATTGCCTTGATAAATTATAACAATTAGGATTAATTCAAAGTGACCGAAAGATGGAAATAAAGTTTTGCTTCCTAGTTTTTAATGATTAAATTTTTGAATAGTGCGATTAATTGTAACTCACTAATACTAATTAGCGTAAAAATTAGTATTTATACTAGAAATCTTATATTTCGTAAATCATGATAATTTTCATTTACGTATTTATTAAGGTATTCATCCACCAAGTACATCATGGGTCATTTAATTATGCCAATAACTTCCAATACGTACTTAGAATATTTTTAATTATCGCTAATTTAATTACTGGCCATTTAAGAGAAATTAAGTTATATAATTTTTTTCTGTAAAAGCAAAATTTCTCTTGATACAATAGTACTTATTTCGATAAAATAATTACGATTAATTTTAGTTAGATGTTTGTGATTTTTTTGTTAATTGTGACTAATTTTACCTAATTATTTCAGCTGCGCTTAAATTAACTTTTGAATCTAAATTCTAATTGAAGATAGGATTACACCTTTTAGGATATTAACTTCCATTGTCCTTAATTACTTTTATAATTATGTCTACTAAATGGAATTAATTATCTGGGATAATTAATAAAACTTACATAACTGAACGCAATAACTGACTATCCATCACTAAAATTTTAACATTATCTAGTCAGGGTACACCTAATTATGATACTAAGTTGAATTTATATTACTATAATTATTACATTTACTAATTGCAACAATAAGGACTAATTCAAAATCGCTGACAATTGAAACAAAAGTTCTGCTTCCTAGTTTTTAATGCTTAATTTTTTAAATAGTTCGACTAATTGTAACTCACTACTACTAATTGACGTAAAAATTAGTATTTATACTAGCAAAGTTATATTTAGTAAATCTTGATATTTTTCATTTACGCATTCAACCACGAGCACATAAAAAGTCATTTATGATAATAATTTCCAATACGTACTTGGAATGTTTTTAATTATCGCTAATTATATTACTCGCCATTTAAATGAAATTATTTTATAAACATATTTACTTTAAAAAATTGCCCTTGGCACAATAATGATTTTTTGATAAAATAATTCTGATCAATTTTACTCAGATATTTGTGTTTTTTTTGTCAATTGTGACTAATTTTACGTAATTATTTTAGGTGTGGTTAAGTTAAGTTTTGAATCTAAATTACAAATTAATGCCGGAAGACAGTGTTTACTTCCAATGTTGTAATTATTTTTATAATTACTATGTCTTCTAAATGGAATTAATTAATTTACTAAAATGTTAATATTGTCTAGTCAGGAAACAAATTCTGTTTCTGAGTTTCCTTCACATTTTTAATTTATCTACTATATTAATTACTTCCTTTATTAGTTATAAATAAAGATTATGATGACACAATTGCAGTTAGATAAGTTTATTGTTTCAGTAATTGATATAATGGTTTTTAGGAAGTAGAAGATGTGTCCACTTTTACTTTAAGTTATATTAATTAATAATTTTAACACTATCAGCGAGTGATAGCTATGAATTTTATTTATATTGCTGACTTACTACTATATTAATTTATAACAAATTATGACAATTATGACTAGTTAAAAAAAAAATTAAAAGCCGTAGAAACAAATTTCTGCAATGTTTTACTAATTACGACAAGTCTAATTGATACCAAAAAAACGCTTGGGTATGACGATTCGGGCGAATTTTATTTCAGGTGTTTTACAGTAGCTAATTAAAATTGTACGAAATTTATTAAACAGAATCATTTTCACTGTTTTGGCGTAAAAGTACTTATGACCTCATTAATAATACGGTTTCGATCTATACTTTTCAATTTGTAATTAAACTTGGACATTACATGTTTTACTATCCTATAATAAACGAAATGTCAGATATTTATTACAGACAACCGTATAATTAGAAACAAGCATAATTTTTTTTTTAATAATAAAATCGTTTGATTTTATTTGAGGCGGAATTATTATCGTATCGGTCACTTGCATATACTTTCGTTCAATAATTTATAATATTGCATAAACAGTTCCTAACTGCATTTGTGATGCATTAATGTTATTAATATTAACAGGCGAAGTTAAAGTATGTATAAATAATTAGAACCTGCAATTATAGCTAAGTACTATTAATACCACCATTACCATTTCACTATCCCTGTTTAAAATTAATCAAGGCAAATCTACACATCCTCCCGCACTATCTTACCTCGCCCACCCCTCACCACCCCCTTCCAATAAAACGAAAATCTCGTCGAAAACTCTCAGCGGGCCCTATAAAAACTCACCCTTCCGCCCCTCGCCCTAATGAAATATTAAAACTGAAGCATTATTTTAATAATGACGAATTAAAACGGCAGGTAAGCGTCGAAATCTCAGAAAGCTGTGATTAAAAACGAGAGGGCAAAACGAAAAACGGAAAGGACGGGGTTAAAAAGTTGGAAAGAAATTAAAAGGGATAGTCTCGGCGCGCCAGGACCGTACTCACACAATCCACCACTCTCAACACCGCCGTCTCGGAGGGTTCAAGCGCTTATTTTGGGGTGTTCTTTCAGATTTTTATGCACAAGTCTGCGATGCAGATGCACGCGAGGGAGCTGACGGGGCGGTCAGAGGTCAAACCACACCAGTGCCAGCAATGTCTCAAGTCTTTCAGCAGTAATCATCAGCTAGTTCAACATATCAGGGTGCACACAGGAGAGAAACCCTACAAATGTTCCTATTGCGACAGGAGGTTCAAGCAGTTAAGCCACGTTCAACAGCACACGAGGCTGCATACGGGTGAGTGAAGTAGTGAGGGACAGGGTTTGACTCGACTGGAAATATACAGGGTGTGTTGCGATTAAGTACCGAGTTTTTTTCACTACGTTGTAGGTTTAAAATTAGTCCAGAAATCGTGGCCAAAGTGGCTTATTTTGATTAATAACGGAGTTATGGCAACTTAATTACAGCACACTGTTCAACTTACTGTTTTTTTGACATCGCAGAGACAACAAAATATTTATTGTTTTCAAATAACAAACTGTGCGATAAATGGAATCTAAACCTTTAACCCAATAATTTAATTCAAAATAATTTAATAAGTACAAAATTAACAGCTAATGAATATTGACGTTAATCATATATTGGATCTAAAATTCAATGCAATAAATGTATAGAGATAATAAAATTGTGCACGCTAAAATATCCATTATGTTTATGTTGCAAAAATTATTAATATTTATTTACTATACAGCTGTGTGAATTTTATAACTTTCAAATGTCAGTGTATTTTAAGGTTATGTTTAGTAACAACACAATAACTGCAACATCACTCATTAACTCATGTTTAACGTCGATTGGCACTTTTACAATGTTTCACAATAATGTGTTTAAATAGTTAAAATTAAATAACACACACGTGTAGTTTATGAATCCGTGTTAAGATTTAACCCGAGAATCCAAATTTTGGAAAAAAAATGTATGACATTTGTAATTTAACTTTGAAACTGCAAAAGAAAATGCTCTGTAATCTTGCAAATGGTTTAAGTCAACCAAAAAATTTATGACGTCATCTCAAAATTTTCCAAAAAATTAGCAAAATATACCATACCTGTGAATTCTCAGAAATATTCAAGAAAAAGTATTTGATTTCAGTTATAATAATAAATCTCTAGAGTTTTAAAAATACAACTTAGAATGCGAGCGCAGTGAGCACGTTCAGGTTGCTGGCGTTTCTCCGACTCTAGTGTTCACAAATATTTCCGAAATTGACTTTTTTGGACATAAAAAAATTCTCTCATTAATAATAATTTAACTTCCCAGAGACAACGACGAATAAATGTGCTCGCTGCACTCGCGATGTTCTTTTTTTAATTATTTTATTCTCGGCATTTCTCTTTGGAGGTAAATTACTATGATAAAATCAACCTTTAAAAGGCGAGCGTAGCGAGCGTTATTTTAACTAACAACAAAATTGTTATAATTTAGCTTGTCAGGGACACCAATAAATATGTTTTTAAAATACACCCGAACGTGCTCGCTGCGCTCGCATTTTTTCAGCTTTATTCTTATAGAAATATACATGAAAGGGTTGTAGGGAAATTGTTTGAGTCCTATTGTAAGAATAAATCTCTGGACTTAAAACAACATCCTTAGTATACGAGCGCAGCGAGCATCTTTAAATTCCTGAAGTCTCTCCAACTAGAATCATCTTTTTTAGACAAAAAAAATATCCTCTTAATAATAATTTAGTTTCTCAGGGACACTGAGAAGTAATTTTTAATAACATCTAAACGTTGCTCGCTGCGCTCGCCTTTGTAATATTCTTATTTAACATAATCAGTCAAGTTATTATAATAATCCTATAGACGTTCTTATGAAGCTAAATTATTCTAAAAAAAAACAAATTCGAAAAATCAAGCGCAGTGAGCACCTGTAAATTGGTGGAATCTCATCTTTTTTTTAATTATTTTATACACGGAATTTTTTATATTAATTAATTAATTTTGAAGAGTTTCCACAATTTTTGAATACTGTTAAGAAAATTTTGTTTCTAAATTAAACTAAGAAATCTTAAACAAAAATCGGAAATTAATTAGAAGAATTCCAAATTTTTAAGAAATCGTCAAAATTCCAACTTTTCAAAACGTTTTGTTATTAAATATTTAGAACTTACAGAACATGAACATGTTAAAGAAATTAATTCGGCAAACTTTCAGTTTTCTAGCAATTTTTTCGAGGTTTTAGAAGTTTATATTATATTTAGAAATTTCTAAAATTTTTGGATGTAGGTACATTTTCTATATTTTCATTTTTATTTAATGTTTCAATATTTTTGTGTGCTAGTATTTGCTAAGATAAGACTGATTTTGGCAAATGAGATACCTTCTAAGAAAAGAGAGGGTGGGTGGGTGGGGCTAGTAGCTTGTAAGATAAAACTTATTTTGTTAAATCACATACTCACTAAAAAAAGAGAGGGTGGGTGGGCGGGGCTAGTATTTGCTAAGATAAGACTGACTTTGGCAAATCACATACCTTCTAAGAAAAGAGAGGGTGGGTGGGTGGGGCTAGTATTTGCTAAGATAAGACTAATTTTGGCAAATCACATACCTTCTAAGAAAAGAGAGGGTGGGTGGGTGGGGCTAGTAGCCGCTAAGATAATACTGATTTTGGCTAATGACATATCTTCTAAAAAAAGAGAGGGTGGGTGGGCGGGGCTAGTACCTGCTAAGATAAGACTAATTTTGGCAAATCATATACGTTCTAAGAAAAGAGAGGGTGGGTGGGTGGGGCTAATAGCCACTAAGATAATACTGATTTTGGCTAATGGCATACCTTCCAAAAAAAAGAGAGGGTGGGTGGGCGGGGCTAGTACCTGCTAGGATAAGACTGACTTTTGGCAAATGACATCCCTCTAAGAAAGTAAAGAGCGGCTGGGCGGAGTTAGTATACCTACTAAAATAAGATCGGTTTTGGCAAATAACATACCTGCGAAGAAAATAGAGGGCGGATGGCCGGACAAGTACCTGCTAAAATAAAACCGATTTTGGCAAATGACATACCCGCTAAGAAAAAAGGGTACCAAGTACTAACCCCGCCCACCCACCCTCTCTTTCCTTAGAAAGCATCTAATTTGCCTAAATCAGTTTTATCTTAGTAGGAACTAGAAATCTCTCTTTTTTTAGAAAGTATCTTATTTGCCAAAATCAGTTTTATCTCAGCAGGTACTAAACCCGCCCACCCACCCTCTCTTTTCTTAGAAAATATGTTATTTGCCAAAATCAGTTTTATATTAGCAAGTACTAGCGCCGCCCACCCACCCTCTCTTTTCTTACAAAATATCTCATTTGCTAAACTCAGTCTTATCTTAGCAGGTGCTAGCCCCGCCCACCCACCCTCTCTTTTCTTAGAGAGTATGTCATTTGCTAAAGTCAGTTTTATTTTAGCAGGTACTGGCTTAAAAAAAAACAGGGTCCAAAATTAACTCAAAAACAGGTCAGGTCAAAATGTATTAATTTTTAAGATTTTTCAGAGCTTTCGGAAGCTGTTTTTTTTTCGGTCAGTTGTTAAAATATTCAAGAAATGTTAAATATTTCGAAAATATTGCTATCTGAAAAATGTCTTTCCAAGTTTTTTTTTTCAGAAATCTTAAAATTGTGGCTTTCGCAATTCGTGTTTTTTTTTTTACTTTTGAAATTTTGAAATTTTTGTAATATTCTTAGATTCATATTTTTAGTGTTGTAAGTTCCTTAGTTAGTTCTACAGAGTTAGCAAGATTTGGAAACTTTCAAAGTAAACGTGGAATTAATATATCAGCAGGATTTCAATTTTTTGTTCATTTCTTAGAGGTTTTAGACGTTCTGAAATTCATAAAAATCTTAATTTAAGTTTTAGCAAAAATTAAAATTTCTACTTGAAGATTAATTTGCATTTTTTAAAAATGATTTACATTTTCGTTATCGTTAAATTTAAATGTTTAAGTACATTCTAAAATTTCCAAAATATTTAAATCGTTCTGCTATTGCTTCGAATTTTTGGAATATATGTTAAAATATTAAGGGGGCAAATTTTCTGTCTTTTATAATTTTTTTCGACGTTTTAGAATCTCAGACTTAGATATTTCAAAATTTTTAAAAATTATTAAATTCTTCGGGTTGGACTGCTGACTATATTAAAGTTTCGACATCTCTGTATATTTATTAATTTCCTAAATTTTTTAATATTTTTCATGCGATTTCAATTTGCATCTTTCAAAAATTAAAAATAGATTCTATATCTAGACAGAACATTTTGAAAATTCATTGAATTAAATATTTCAGAGTTACTCAGTTTTTAATATTTCCTTTACAAAAAAAAAATTTGAAGCTTCCAAGTTCTTGTGTTCGGTAGGTACTTGCAACTTATAAGATATTTAGAACTAAAAGTTTAAAACTTTTAATTTAAACTCTCGTGGAACGATTAAAAACACAAATTTTCAACAATTTTGATTTCGACGTGTCATGTCTTTAAATTTAAATCTGAAAGGCTTTTACAATTTTTGAAAATTTTCAAATGTTACTCTCGAACTAAGCATATACCGACAAAATATATCAACACGACAACCGGAGCATCACCCAGAAACTCGTATTTAATCGATTTATTGGTGGTTTTACAGTGTTTCACCAGAATGTTTCTATTTATTTTAAATTGGTTAAAACTGATTTTTGTAATGAATTAATTTTTGAAATTTTTCAGAGCTTTTGGAAACTGTCATTTTCAGTCAGTTGTTAAAGTATTCAAAGAACTTTAAGTATTTCTACTAAAAATGTGTGTTTCTATGTAAATAATTTTTTTCAGAAACCTTGAAATTGTGGAACTCGCAATTTATGCTTTTTTTTAACTTTTTTTCTGAGTTATCAAGATTTTGAAACTTTCAGCGTCAACGTGGAAAAACTTAAATTTTCACGTTAACATTAATTTCCAACTTTCAAAATGTTTTACATTTTTCGTGTCGTTAAATTAAAATAGTTAACTACATTCTAGAATTTCCCAAATCTTTAAATGGATCTACTGTTGCTTCAAACTTTTAGAACATAAAAATATTAAATAACTTTAAATATTTCAAAATCTGTAGAAAGTGTTTAATTCTTCGGGTTAGACTGCTGACTATGTTAATGTTTCAACATATCTGTATATTATTTAATTTCCTAAATTTTTCAATATTTTTCATGCGATTTCAATTTTGCTTGCTTCAAAAATTTAAAATTTATAAAAAAGTTACCCAAAAATGTTCAAGCTTCCAAGTTCTTATTTTCGGTTAG